CTGTATATATTACCCATTACTAACTGAACAAGCTTAAATTTTGAGCTTTTGTTCAAATATATTTGTTCAAGTCTAATAAAATTGCTATAAACCTACAAATATAATTCAAAACATTTATTTTTACGTTAACAGTGGTGGTTTGGTTCACATCAGGTTTTATGTTGAAAACAGTGTTAGTGGATGTGCTGGTTCACACAAAAACATTATTGTAATTCAAAACGTTGCACGAGCTCCAATGTGTTAAAAATGATTCTCAAACCTGATGCAAAATAAGGTCCTCTTCAGGAAACAGCTCCTCACAGAACTCACAAGGCAGCATGGTATCTATAACACAGTTTGAAATGATAAAACTGACAGCAGAACAACATGATGTGTTAAAACCGTCAGTATTTTTACCTGTCTGACTCTTGTCTTGGACATCGCCTGTGTTTGTCCCTCCTGATAAGTTTGGACGGTTGAAGCTGGACTTGAAGAATGAAGACGTTCCAGACGTGTCCTCAACCTTTTGGTCCCAGATGCTGCTCCATGCGTTTCCCTCTGCGCCTCCAGCCGTTTCTCCGTCACCCTGAAGGCTGAGAGCCAACATGTAGTCGAGGTTTGACGAATCCTCATCTGCTGTGTGATCGCTGAGCGGCCACCCGTCRCCGCCGCCAAGCAGAAAATCCCCCTGCTCCAGGGCTAAATGAATATAAGCACATAAATGTTTCAAAGTACGAACACAAAAATTAATCTATGGGAAAATAAACAAATTTACTGTTGGTTAGTAAATACAGAGCGTGAGTGATATGTTCTCCCAGCAGGAAAACACTCAGGAGACTCACATTGACTAAATGTTGTTCCCTGAGGTGTTGTGTTCTGATTTGTTAGCGCCTGACGTCCATGTGAAGTGCTGTAAACTGGGGGGTCGAATAGGCGAGGAAACAATACGTGTTCCACCGCACTGATGTTATTGTTTTTTGGACCTCTGTCTTGCCCTCCCAGGTGGTTTCTGATGGAGTGAGCTCCAAGCCACACATCGGAATACGGCTGTTCGACTTGAGTGAACATGGCTTTACTGTTGTTTCTCTCTTGCGGAGGAGTGAGGCTTCCACACGTGACCGAGTGCACGGCTTGTTCTCGCAGCATCACGTTGTTCTTGCAGTGCGGGCAAGGCTCAGTGCGTGCGCCGCAGTAATCCTCGTGGTCTTTGGACTGGCTGAAAACAAGCTCCAGTTCACAGTACTGGCATGGAACGAGCCGCTGGGAGCACTCAGAGATCTGCAAGACACAACCATCAAAAACTGACAAATATTAAAGGGGTCAAAAATATGGAAAACCTGAACTTGACCTACTTTGCTCCTCTGTACCTGTTTTATCTGCACTCATGAAATTCAACACTTACCGGACTGAACAGAAACGCCACAACTAAAAGTGGTTTGGGACAAAATTCTGGTAAATAACATGAAGTGTAAGAACACCCGTCCACTATACCTGATGCACATCAAGATAATTCTTCTCAATTTTCAAGCCACACTTGCATAAAATCTGAAATAAAAAAAGGATCAAATAGTTTACAGTAAGCCACAGTCCAGTGTTCGTCTATACAGAAATATTTTCCTTTGGATAAAAGATGTTACTGGTGAAACTACAGCAGTAATGCAATATCAGAGTTCTTTCAAATGCACAGCTAAACACATGAAAATTAATGAAAATTAAAAATGGATATCATTTGTGGAGTATTTCACTATTTAGGTATAATAGAACCTCTTAAATATAAAAAATAAATTATTTTTTAACAATTAAGTGTTAAAAACATAAATATATTTT